ATATAGGCAATGGTCTCTTTATGCTACATATAGGCAATGGTCTCTTTATGCTACATATAGGCAATGGTCTCTTTATGCTACATATAGGCAATGGTCTCTTTATGCTACATATAGGCAATGGTCTCTTTATGCTACATATAGGCAATGGTCTCTTTATGCTACATATAGGCAATGGTCTCTTTATGCTACATATAGGCAATGGAATATCCAAATACAAATGTAGTGACATGAGACACGTAGTCCTTTCACTTCACATCTGGTCATACCTGGTCATATTGCTGAATATTGGTGAAAACAATGATCTTTCTTTTTTCATTGATGCCTGCGACTAACTCTTGTTTCAGGTATCTTGTAGAGATAGTACATGTATTGGTTTCATATTCAGATTTAATTTAAATTCCTGTGATTTTATAAAGCTAAGGTGATAACTGAACAAGGTGGTTTAGGGGTCACAATGCAGGAGGCCAGGTAATTTACATATTTTGGCCAGTCTTTCTGTATTCAATCTCCTCTGTTGGACTCATCAATACAGAATAGGTTGGACGCGAGGAAGCTGTGCAGGTCGTAAGATCTAAGTTTGTAGTGGAATAATTTCAGGACACCTACCCCACCGTAGAGAACCTTAATCTCTGGTGTCATTTCACGTGACCTACTTCTTCTGGTTACATGTTCCACGAAGCTTGAATTTCATTTATTATTTTAGATATATTTCAAAATATTTCAGTACTAGAGAAATTAATGATAAACTTATCATTGTGTGTATACTTTACTCGTAGTATATAACGAAAATTATTAATGCTCATTTGATTTAAGAGGGTCTGGTAAGGAAAAAAATGATTTATTACTTCAAAAAGCTAACAAGTCTTAAAATCATTGGTTGTCTATTTATTGTTCACACCTGATGTTAAAAGTTTAAGCATCCAAATGGTTTAATTTTTGTTCGACATTTGTAAATGTTAATAGTTTTATTAAAATATTCAAAATGAAAACAAATGGTTGTATCGTAAAATAACATCACTACTTGACTTAAATGATGAAATGTATTTATGAATTGAAAAATAAAGTTAAAAAATCAACCTAAAGACATTGCATCAAGCTGACAATACTTAGAAAATCTGGTCTCTGAATTTGAATTCTCTTCCTATTGTTGTCTGGAGATAAGATATGTCAGTGTGTAGAAGTGAAACATGATACTGAATCGATAAATTATTTAGAAATAAAAATGGAGGTACTTATGTGATGAATGGCATTCTTACTAAAAGGTTATCAACCTTTTTGAAGATGAAAAAGTTAAATAGGAGTTGTATTAGATTTTGTTTGACCCATATATAGTGATTGATGTGTGTATGTGGGCTATATATATATATTAGTCACCAACTTGCTACCCAAGACACTTTACGTATATATACAGAAGGCCTATATGTCCCTTTTTGTGTCGCCTCGCATTGCATACTTTGTATATAATACTTTGTTGGCGTCACCGGTCGTGTCGTCTGAAACAAGGTTCCCATGCGATAACTTGAGTTCCCTTGGGTTGATTGAAGTCAAACTTGGTACACATATTGCATACTAATATAGCGCGGACGAGTTCACATTTCAGAAGTTTACATGCGTTTTTGGTGGCATTATGCCCCTTTTATTGCAAAATAAGGGCATTGTGATGGTAATGCAAGAACTTTCTTATTTTTTAATCAATTCCTTTCAAATTTTGTACGGTTATGCAAGAAGCAATAATGTTCAAAATATATTATATGCAAGAAGCAATAATGTTCAATATATATTATGACTTTTTCTGTCGAGTTTCAACTTTCCCCATTTTGGCATATCATACTTGACATAGCAACCCTGTTCATCGTTTTCGCCGTTAATTTTTGCTTGTTTACGCGATAACTTAAGCCAAAACAGTTTTCTTACTAAAATTACTGGGCTGAGGCGACACATCCACTCCTGTGGAGTTCCTGTATTAAACAGCACAATGCTTCATTGGTAACTACCACGACAAATATTTACTTGAAACTGTTGAAAAATATTACAAAAAGTTTTGTGTTCTAAAATAAACAGTATCTATGGTATACAATTATTTTAAGACCCATTTAGAGAATTCTTCCCAATGCCAGAAAGAAGTCAAACCCGCAGAATTGTAAAACATGCTAGACCTCAGAGCCGACTTTGGTTGGTGACATAATTAGTATGGTAATAGGAAAGACATGCATATTTACATAAGTAAGTTCTGAGTATATGTCATTGTCTACATCTGTATACATTCATGTACATATATACATTGCATACCTACACTACAACAATGATTTTTGGGACACAATTTTGGAGTCTTACACTCGTGCTTTTCCTGTCGGACTTAAATACATTTTGAGAACCCACTTGATCTTTAAGTAATGGAATTAATCAACATTTGCAAACAAATATTCAGGACTTGATTGAAAAAAAATCTGCAAAAAGCACTCATAATATGTACAATGAGATCCACTTAATATATTACAGTTTGGTACTTATCATGTTTTGCTAAAACATTAATTTATCATTCCATATACTGCTTGTAATATAACATGATTTGACTAAAAATAATCTTAATGTCATGCTTTACTGCTTGTTTTTCTATACATACCATACATCACATTTAAATAATACTTCTTTCAGCTTATAACTATTAATTTGGAAGTGACCTTTTTCTGTTGTAACCGTGAGGGTCCATATTCATTCCCTGGCTTAAATGGAAAACAATAGACATAAAGACTGTTTAGGATAGGTTATGACATAATATCTTTTCAAAATTTGAATTTTGGTCTTGTGTGGTCCCAGTATTCTGTGAACAATTGTAGGTACATACTCAGTGTTCAGTCACAACAATCGTCATGTATACTGCGTATATATACCTGTAGTGTATGTGTACATGTCAGTGACATAGCATACAGAAAATAGACACACAAAAGTAAATAATCATATCCATGTTTTCTAGTCAGTTTTTGTGTCAGTTTACGGATGTCTGCATCGACACTATCACCGTCTCAGAGATTTCACGGTCCATGATGACAGTTTTCTCCTTGACTGGTAGTCTCCAAAGGCAGATCAGACTTATAAAATTCATGCATGCAAGCAGAATCAGAAAAATCATGTATGTAGGGTGACAGGCATAGATTTATGTTTTTAAATTGACAACTTATCTTGCTTACCTGTCATTTTCCTACCTGAAAATCGTTAGATCAGCAAATAGTGAAAAGGATAGACACCCCTGTCTTTGTTGAAACTATTTTCCTGTTATGGTAAAGAATTCTGATTTTGTTTTTTAAAAGTTAATTCTTTAACAATTTCCTGTCCTCACACCTTTGGGTTGTATACCTGCTTTATCATGTAAATAACCTACCAAAACTTTGAACTGTATTACAAATTCATCAGTTACAATCATGATTAGAATATTACTCTGTCATTAACATTTTACAACAGTGTCCCATACAAGTCTACATGTGGGCTAAAACCCTTTCACCACTTTAGACCATAATGGACTTATCTAGATCAATGCATGGTAGAGTCTACTAAAGTTACATAGGGGTGAAAGGATTAAGTTTACTGTATTATACAGGTATGTGACCTTGAAATATTTACAAATATCATGGTCCTCATTGATGTTTTACTTTTCTGTTTATAGATCAATTAATTAAGTTAAAATGCATTCAGTATCTATTTCTTTGTTCAAGTGTTCAAATCTGAAGGACATTTACTTCAGTATTCAAGTGATCAAATTAACAAGACTTTTACTTCTGTGTTCAAGTGTACAAATCTACTGGATATTTTATTCTGTGTTCAAGTTTTCAAATCTACAGAACAGTTATCTCTGTTCAATTGTTCAAACTTATGGAACATTAACTAAGAATCAAATCTACCAGACATTTATCTCTGTGTCCAATTGATCAACAATACTGGACATTTATCTCTGTATTCAAGCAATCCTGATCATGACTACAGGGTAGTCATTCCGTCTTTAAGTAATCAAACCCAAACCTACAGGACATTTACTTCTGTGTTCAAGTGTTCAAATCTACAGAACATTTCTCACTGTGTTCAAATGATCAAATTGACATAACATTTCTCTCTGTGATCAAATCTACAGGACATTTTCTTTAGTATTTAAAGTGATCAAATCATTTACTACAGTGTTCAAGTAATCAAACTTACAGGACATTTACTTTTGTGTTCAAGTGTTCAAGTCTACAGAACATTTCTCTCTGTGATCAAACATACAGGATATTTACTTCTGTGTTCAAGTGTTCAAATCTACAGAACATTTCTCTCTGTGATCAAATGTACAGGACATTTACCTCTGTGTTCAAGTAATCAAATCTACAGGACATTTACTTCTGTATTCAAATGATCAAATATACATAACAGTTCTCTCTGTGTTCAAATCTACAGGACATTTACTTCTGTGTTCAAGTAATCAAATCTACAGGACATTTACTTCTGTATTCAAATGATCAAATATACATAACATTCCTCTCTGTGATCAAATCTACAGGACATTTACTTCTGTGTTCAAATGATCAAATATACATAACATTCCTCTCTGTGATCAAATCTACAGGACATTTACCTCTGTGTTCAAATGATCAAATATACATAACAGTTCTCTCTGTGTTCAAATCTACAGAACATTTACTTCTGTGTTCAAATGATCAAATCTACAGGACATTCCTCTCTGTGATCAAATATACATAACAGTTCTCTCTGTGATCAAATCTACAGGACATTTACTTCTGTGTTCAAATGATCAAATATACATAACATTTCTCTCTGTGATCAAATCTACAGGACATTTGCTTTGATCAAATCTACAGGACATTTGCTTTGATCAAATCTACAATACTTTTACTTCTGTCAGGGGTAAATAAGTTAAAATAGAATAAAAAATCTTATAACTCATTAAACACAACTAGATGATGCCAAGTGCTGTCTATCTTCTTTAAAAGACATTTTTTTTTCTTTTACAGGAAAAAGAAGACTTTGAGTTTGAGGATAGTGAAATTAGTGTAAAGAAACGTGCGGCATTAACGGACGATGAGGATTTATTAAATGATGAAGCGGGATCTACACCTGAGCCTGAAGTGGAAGGAAGTACACCTGATGATAATAAAGAGACTTCAATAGACCTACCAGGTAAGTCCTCTCAAAGACTCTCCAATCAGGTGTCGCGTTTCAGCAATGTGGCAGGTGTTCACCAGATTGTTTTTGACTTTTTATGTCAAACTCAAAGTAGAGAAAAAAAACGTTTTTCTTTTGTGTATTTGTAAGAAAAGGAATTTCACCCTAAGTGATTACACATTAGATAGAAGACCCTTTGACATAAGTTTACATTTCATGTGATCTGGAACCCGTCATGGTGGAATATTCTCTATCCTCAATATATTTATTGATGGCATAAAGGTATCAATCCGTTAACATGTCTGTTTAGGATCAGTTTTAACTCATTCACCCCTGAAATTTCATAATGAACTATTCCAACCTTTGAATTGGAGAAGTTCAAATGTGTCTTCAGGGGTGAATGAGTTAACTCACCATAATGTATTGAAATTTGTCAAAACTGAGCATGAGAGGCAACCTTTTTTTGAGGAAAAACAGATTTTTTTTAATAATAAAGGTTTGGGTGACATAGAAATGTGTACAATAGGGTCTTATTACTAAAGGTCCAGTTTACACAGGATTTCAGGTTACTCCGGTTTTTGTTTAGTTGCAAGGTGAATTTCTGAAGCAACACATCACAGACCTGCTGTGATTCAGTCACTTAGCTTTCAATATAATGCAACCTTATCATTCCAGATGATTGGATTTCCAGAAATTGTCATTTTGGATAAAAAAATAAATACATTAACTCATTTACCCCAGAAATTTCATAATGAACAACTCCAGCCTTTGAATTGGAAGAGTTCAAATGTGTTTTCAGGGGTGAATGAGTTTATATAAAGCAAACTACCTGGAAGGCAGAAACTACTTTCCTGTCGTAAGAACATATCTGTCTGTCCTTGACCCCTATTCTTGCGGCCTGTAGACACATTTGTTACCTGTTCTTTTTTACAGATGGGACAGTCGCAGGTAAATGATGATAAGTAGAAATAAATTACAGGTGTGATGTTGGAATGTCAGTGATGCAGTTACTTCCCCTTTTGTTGTGGTTGCCAGTTAGACTGGGTTTTCTTTGTCACCAGGTAGATTTATCTCCCGTCCTACCTAGAGAATACACGTTTCTTTCATACAACCACATCTAGCTAGACTCATTGTGATTTTAAGCAAGGTCAGAAACAGAGTTGGAAACCATGTAGATTTACATATGTTTTTAATGACCTTTTTCTTTTTAAATAAAATTTTAAAAATCGGTCAGGATATAAAATGCATCATTCTTAAAGCTAGCAAAGATTGTTATTATGCATGAAACTCAAAAACTTTAAAAGATTTTTTATATAGTTGATAATTTTTTGATTCCAAAATTTTGACATTGTGCATATTGTTTCTGGCTGTAGCTAAATATGTTAACATGTACATCAGAATTCTTGCAGAACTGAGTCTGATGTATGTTTTAGTTGAAGATGAACTGATTTTGTTTGCTTTTATTGGTGAAATATTTATTTTATCACAAGCTACCAAAATAATAGGATCCAGATCCACAACGGGCCTTGCATAATTTGATTTCCATCTGTAGACAAAATGCTGTAATTCTCAATAAATGCAGATTACTGAATTAAACCTAATATGTGCCCCGTCCTTACAAGCACAACCAATCCTTTTTCTGGTCCAAAGGTCCCTATAATTCCTCTACTATAATTTACTCGAATATTGTGTTTGTTTATGGCTATCATGGGAAGGTTCTGTAATCATTCTAATTATACAAGTTGGCTAAGTGGTCAAGACTTGAATTCTATTTTCATGTTAATGTGCAATAAGCATGATCCTGAATTTGGCTATTTAACAACTTTTATTCATACATAACTTACATTGTGCAAGACAACTGTACACATTTGGTGAAACACCTATTTACATTCTGTCAATTTAAAGAGCAATGGCAAGTTAATGAAATCAAGAGTATGTGAATTATGAGTAATCTATGTCAGTAAATGAAAAATAATGTATTCAACCTTTCTAGTATTTATTTGTCTGGTCCCCGTCTTTTGAAAATTGTGTGTGTTCACAGTTTACATCCTACATTTCACCCACTGTTTTTGCAATTGTCTCCCTTTTTACCTGTTAAGGATTTCTCTTTCCTTTCTGGGGATTTGTTTTTGCTGTCACTCCCCAAAGGGCATGACAAATGTAACATCCATACACAATAGGAGAAATAAGAGGAAGTCATGGTAGCATTAAATATGATGTAACATGATGTAGAATACTTCAGGAATTATAAGTAAAATCAGGAAAAATCAAATTACAAATGCTGATAACAATTGTTATTGAACATACTGCATACAGGGAAACCGTTTGCTTGATGATTTTTTTGCCCTATGCTGGTTAAATTCATATTCGCCCAGTGGTAATTTTTCCATTTATATTTGATTTCTATGTTTATTATGATGTTGACTTATATCTTAACGAATGATAAATTTGTCTGGTGAAAAAGTCGAAAGTTAATTGGCGGCAGATACAGTATGGTACCATTGGTAGGATGGAAGAAAGAGAATAATTCCCTACAGTTAAGTATGCCAGAAAATCTCAACCTTCAAGGTGACATTCTTGAAGTAAGCGATGGGTTAGACATTCTAGAATGTGTTCAGATTATTGTTACATTCATGGTAGTTGAAAGTTCGACGTGTCTCCAGTTTACAGGGAGTTTTAAGGGAGGAGTTTCTTTAATACCACACAGTGAAGGTAATAGAGACCTCAGACAGGTTTATGTCTAGAAGTCCCACAAGGTCAAACCCAGTGTTAATGGTATAGTTCTGCCTGTTGTGCACTTGGCTCGGCACACACAAAGATCTGTGTGAGCAATGTCCTGGTGTTACAATACAGTGGCTGACTCCAGAAAGGTGGTTGTCTTGTTGCCTGTAATTTACAATAGATTTATAGGTGTGGGTGGTAACATGTTTGTAGCCTCTGTGGTGCTGAGGGATGGTCCCAGGTCATACTTCCTTATCCCGTACTGTCTTCTCACAGGAAACATGGACGAGACCTACAGCCTTCATCAAATTAATTCATCAAATCTACTTATTATCGGCATATCATGTCACATTTAGAATGTAATTAATTTGTGGTGCATAAAAGGTGAGGAATGAAACAGATTGGTTTACAAAAAAAAAAAATACATACTCACAAACAATTATTACTTTGGCAGAGGTGAACATGGGGATGGAGGGAGGGCACTTACCATTACAGGAATATCACTGTCATTCTTTAGTTTCAGTTAATTCTGGGTGGAAAACAATGTTAGTATCTTAAAACTCTACAGGACAGACTTTGTCATATATGTATCATCTTGCACGACCCATAGAATGTGTGCAGTGCACTGCAGTTAGATCTCTGACATTCACCTCTAGGTCAAAGGTCAAATAAGTGCAGAAGTTTAGTTGAAATTTTGTCTGGTCTGTATATTTTAGGTCAAAGGTCAGATAAGTACAAAGTTTTAATAGATTTTGTTCTGGTCTGTACCCTTTAGATAGTTGAATATGGAATTTGTAGTGTACCTGCATCATTCATTGAAAGTGGGCAGTGTATCGGTTTTAGGTCACCAAGGTGTTGACCTTTACCTCCAGAGGTGAGTGAGAATTTTTTAGTTAAAATTGCTTTATTAACTTTTAAAACATTAAAGATATCTTAATGAAACCCAAAACTTATTTCTGCTACATACACCTTCATGTATGTGAAAGTTCCAATACATGCAAAAATTGTCTGCAAAAGCTTGTCCAGGCTATAGATCTTAAACAGTTGAAGTTTTATGGAGTGTGAATCATAATTTAATTGCAGAAAATGTGCAGTGCACTGTAACCATGGCCTCTTGGTCAAAGGTCAAGTGAGACCAAAACAAAAATGAATAATATATAATAAGGGAATCACAAAAACAAATCTATAGTTAAAAATAGATTATATACTGTAATTAATATTTCATAAACACTGAAGGCCAATAAACCTTGCTGACCCTCCCGCTGTTGTTTAAGCCTGTGTCCAACCAGGCTGTGTAATGATCAGTTTTGTCGACAGTGTTCATTAAACCAATTATCTAATAATAGCTGTACTGGCATCGATAAAAACAAAATCACCCCTGATAAACAGATTAGTTAATAATTTACAACCATTTATAGACCTTGTCACCCAAAGCTGTTCATTAGAGACTTTACACTGAGATCATTACTTGAAAAAATGGTTGCTAATTGACGGCAAAATGGAGTAGTTATGAGAAACTGTTTGCTGAATGAGATATTTTTTGACAGAAAGTTGCTTGAAAGTCATGATAATTGCTGGTATCTCTACCCATGATGTTCTCAGGGAAACTACGGCAGTTGTCTTAAATTTAGGTGAAACAGGAGCAGAAAAATGCACGGCCAGACCGGGGTTCCAACCTGGGACCCTCAGAATTCTAGACTGACGTTCTACAGATTGAGCTACCTGGTTGCCGACGATTGACCCAGTCCAGTTTCGTTACATTCCACCCTCCTTTTTTATAAGTCTTCGCCCCCAAAGACAGCACTATTTACAACCCAGGTTAGTGTATGCCCTTGCCAAGCATACACCAAATGCTTGAAACAATGATTGATCACAAGCACCACTGTAACACCAGGAGCTGAGAAATGGCCAGACCAGGATTCGAACCAGGAACCCTCTAAACTCTAGACGAACGCTCTAACAATTGAGCTACCAGCTGGTCGCTACCTTGGTATTCAACCCTCTTTGCAAAGCGAAAAATCTAGGATTACTATTAACTTCATTAAGATTTAAGACCCTGACTGTGAACAGAATATTACATTAAGATTAAAGACCCTGACTGTGAACAGAATATTACATTAAGATTGAAGACCCTGACTGTGAACAGAATATTACATTAAGATTAAAGATCCTGACTGTGAACAGAATATTACATTAAGGTTAAAGACCCTGACTGTGAACAGAATATTACATTAAGATTAAATACCCTGACTGTGAACAGAATATTACATGAAGATTAAAGACCCTGACTGTGAACAGAATATTACATTAAGATTAAAGACCCTGACTGTGAACAGATTATTACATTAAGATTAAAGATCCTGACTGTGAACAGAATATTACATTAAGATTAAATACCCTGACTGTGAACAGAATATTACATTAAGGTTAAAGACCCTGACTGTAAACAGAATATTACATTAAGATTAAAGACCCTGACTATGAACAGAATATTACATTAAGATTAAAGACCCTGACTGTGAACAGAATATAAATAATAGTGATTTGAATTTAGCTTCTTTTGTCATTCTTGAACAGAACTCACTGAGCTCCACATTTCTGAAGAAGAGTTGCATGAGATGGCTTTCAATGGTTGGAAGGTCAAAGGTCAAGGTCAATGTTAAAGTAAATAAAATATCCATGTGTACATTACTGATCATTTCCTTCAAATTACGGTCTGGTAATATTCAATATTCATTTTGAAATCAAACTTGAGTTGCAGTTAAATATTTGGATTGTGTTGTAGGATTATTTTTGTGTGTAGTTGAGTTTTCCCTTCCAACATGTCTTGCCGGAGTGTTTTGCGAGTGGTGTCAGACTGACACATGTCTACCTCCATTACTCTTGTCCTGATGGCATCCTCAGACACACACAGGCAAAAAACCCTCACCAACAAATCGAGCATACACGAAAAGGTAGACTGGACGGTATCGACTGGACATTATAGCTTCAACTTTGGAAGCTAAAATTTGTTTCAGGAACCAATTTTTCCTGTGCAGTTCAGATTTGTGCATCACAGCTGTTAATAGTCAATAGTACTTAAATTCTTTTAGAAATCTACTAGTCTATGTTGTATAAAACTGCTCCATTAAGATTTGAAATATAGTCTTAAACAAAATTTTATCAGCGTAATGGCGGAGATAAATAAGCAATCTTTCCATCCATGTATGGAAAGAATGTAAACATGT